TATATACACACACACACACAATATTTAGAACTCGATATTTAACTTCAAATATTGCAAATCTTAAATATTATTGTTGATTTAGATTATGATCATGATTTATGAGCATGGTCTATTGTCATCTGAACCTAAAATGAAATATTAAATAACAAATATTTATGTTTATATATAAATACATTTTATTTATACATTTTATATTTCAATATTTGCATTTATTTATTTTTAGAGGTTTTATATTGATATATATAATTAACCATAATGAATTTCAAATTTCAATAACTGTATGCTCTTTAAAACAATATTTGTGTGTGGGGGGGGGGATTCAATTTACATTTTGATTGCACTTTTTTTTTTTTAGTTAAGTTGGTTTTAATATATTAATAATAAATTTATATTATTTATATAACAATAATTAAGTCATCCTGTGGCCCCCATGAGAACCACAACTGTAAACCATTATGTACTGTCTGATCTCTCACACGTTATACAATTCTGACATCTGCTGGTTAATCTGTCTCATAATTATATGACCGCTTCTTGTGTTTCCAAAATCTGCTTTGCAAAATAAGGTAGTAGAAATAAATAAATAAGATGAAGAATAATACAAATAAAATAGAAATACTGTTAGACATAACAGAAGTTAAAGTAAAATATTTAATATAGAGATATTACCCACATTTTAAATGAAATATAAATAAACAAATAACATTTTAATATGTTTAAAAAGGAAAAAAACGTACGTTACATTGAGTAAATAACATGCATGTAGTACAAGTAGATTTCTAAGTGACTGTAATGTTTAATTCCAGCATCTCATGTTCATCTGTTAGGTTTGCAAAGATAAAGATGGCACACTGCACAGTAATTTACTGTGTGCCGTGGATGTGTCTGAGATGCCTTTAGGAACCCTTCCTGACATAGAGAACACAGCAGAGGCTATCCGACTCCTGGAGTCTATGAAGGACTCTCACCATCCATTCTTCCTGGCTGTTGGCTTCTATAAGCCACATATTCCTTTCAGAATCCCACGGGTAAGTGCTTTTCAATGAAGCGTGACACACTGTATGAGCACCTGTTAAATCAGTAAATCTGCGAAATGCTGTGTTCTTATAGGAGTACCTAAAGCTCTATCCTATCGAGAGTATGACGCTGGCTCCAGACCCAGATGTTCCCAAGAAACTTCCTAATGTGGCCTACAACCCTTGGACTGACATCCGCAAGAGGGAAGATGTTCAGGCGTTAAATCTGAGCTTTCCTTACGGCCCCATTCCTAAAGACTTTCAGGTACCTTGCAAAAAAT